ATACCCTAGGAATGTCAAGATTTTATATTTTTCCCTCTCTTTTTATTGAAATAATATTCAAGTTGTAGCTATTGGAACTATATTTTTTATAGCTTTTTTATAGTTCAGCATTTTTTTGTGCCCTTTATTTTCAGTTTAATTGTACATAAGCTATTCAGGGACGAGGAAGTTGATGCAGTGACCACATTGCATCCACGCAACATGCTTACGATAACTGTGAGTTGGTCTATCAAGAAAGCCCAAAAGCTGGTATAGCTTTTACACTTAAATATGTAAATATGAAGTAGGATTTTTCTCCATTTTTTAATAAGAGATTTTCATCTTAAAGTCTTTTGATTTAATTCTGAAATCTTAGGTGAGTTCTCAGTCTTGTCATATGTCAAAATCTCAAATGCTTATTTAAACCATTAGAAAAGTTTAGCTTAAAAAATTACTACTCTAATATAAAGATTTTTGCTGTCAAAATGTGTTATTTATGGAAAACCTAACCAAGAAAATATGGAATGTATTTTATGCATAAAAGCCATTTTGTATATGGAATTGATAAGAGTCAAAAGATTCTTTACCATAAACATTTCATTCTTTACCAGGAATATTTAATACTTTTAAACATTAAAGTATTAGCTCTTTTCTTTGCCAGTTGTTAATTTACATGACATAAATTTTTTAATTGAAATTAAGGGTGGTAAAAGTATATACTGTTCGTTATGATAATAAGTTGCACTTTCCCCCTTTTTATTCTTTGCCTTAATTTATTAAAAGAATTTTTTATTCCTACTTCTTTTCTTTATGTTCTGACCAATAATGAGTTAAATAATCAAAGAAACATGAATTATTTGCACTCATGAATATTCCTCCTTAATATTAGCACCCTTCTAAACTGGTGGGAGGACTGGACTAGTGAACTAACAGCTTTCTACTTGCCTTCAACTAGAATTTCTGAATCCCCAACCTGAAATTTGAAAGAAAAACAAATCCTGAGTGTGGTTTCCTTTTCACTTTCTGTATTAGATATATGTAATACAGAGTATGTTCTGAATATCAAGAAATTCTGAAGAAAGGGAAAGAAATTAATATGTAATATTGCTAGGCACAAAGCTGCATGCATAGCCTAAGTTATCTCATATTATAATATTCTCTGTACTTTGTGAGGTGGTTTTTTATTTAATGCCTCTGACAGATAAGGAAACCAAAGCTTAGATTTTTAAGCAATTTGTCAAAGGGCACAGAGCTTATACTGTCAGAGCTGGGCTTTGAAACCATCACTATCTGACTGTAAAACTAATGCCTCTGTGACTAATTCTTGGATAAGTAATCTTATAAATGGAAGTCACCATGAATAAAAATGCAGAAGGCTATCATAGATCAATACTCAGGTACTAGACAAAACTTTCCTACTCAGCCACATTTTGGAGTCAAGAGCAGTAAGAGGACATTATGTGAGTAAATAACAGTAATTAGATGTAATCAAATGATACTAAGATACTGTTCATTCATTTATGCCACAGGCATATCTTGAGCACCCTTTTTTGCTAGGCCCTGGGAATAAAATGGCAAACCAAATATATTCCTTTCTTTCAAATCAGTCATAATCTAGACTAACAAGACAGACATCATGCAGTGAATGGTAAGACACAGTGGATGTGCTGTATTGCAAAGTTTTATCAAGAAAATAATGTAAAAAGTGTTTCTCCGTTATATTCTCACTGTAATGCAGGATTCCATGCTCTCAGTTATAAATGTAATAATACCTTCACAGAAGGACATCTGCAGTTTAACCCTGCCCCATCTTTAGTTTCATTCTCATTTGTGGAAAGAGAGAGACGGTAAATACCAAGACAGTCATTGTCAACTTAAGCTTTCTCATCCACTCTTTCTTT